AGCAAGAGCACAATGGAATTGTAAGAAAACGCATGTACAATGGAATGGGCGACAATGGATTAGTGTTTGCAACGGGAACAGTACAGTTTGATATGATGGAATGATATTTTGCAAATTGACGATTGACTTTATGGTATTCACATTTTATTGAGATAGTCTGTAATCTTTGTGCTAAATACAATCGATTGTCCCCACCCGTGTTCTTGTTCACTACATCAATTCCTCCCAGGTTATGTATGCCTTAATAATTACTACGTCATCAACAGTGGTTTATGTTGATTTCTACGGATAGTACTGTTAGGGTGACTTAGTGTCACGTAAAAAGTGTGGGCAAAATACTTAAGAACCGTCTATTAGACTAACTTATTTTCATATGAGATTACACACGTAAACTCAACTTTCTTTTCTATTTCAAATTTCACAAGTCTATTAGTATATACTGGCCTCACTCAACCGATTTCATTTTTTGCTCTTTTGTAGGCATTGTCTGCCAGATTAAATTCCATGAGTCTCAGTGACATCGAAAATTTGGCAAGTGTGTGGCCTCCATCTGGATAAGGTGGAGTTCAGAAAGTGCTGACATCATATATCCATAGATTTTCTGTTTCCAGCTAGCCCTGAATCTTGTACAATGAACATCAATCTCTCATATAAATAAGCGATGTATGTATAAATTCAAAATTATCGTATATGTAATGTTTCCGCAAAATATATGCTTGGGGTTATAATTACTGTTACGATATATCGCTGGTCGTGACATCAGCCCAACTGGTCGATCCATGTATTTGTACCAAGTTCTGATTTGTTAAGGAATAAACTAGCCAGTATTAGTTAGTTTCTGTCCAGTCTTTATTTGCTGCAACAGAAATAACGATTTGTAGCCTATATTTCAGTTGAAGCAACTTGAAACGTTACGTTGTATTTACTTCTATTGTTCGTAAATGCTTTGAGAAGGGTTTTGGGCGTGTAATTATAATCTGGTACTCAATATTAGCAAGTCTTAAACAGAGTCTGTATAACGCCATTTTTGGGAGATGGCTAACATCACTAATCTTCACAATGATAGGAATTAACAGCCCTCTGCTCAACTCCGTATGTTTATCGTTCACTTTTTAGCTTATAGAAACTTGAGACCATAACTCGTTTTCTGGACCCAGATGTTTGTAAAGTTTTCTGATGTAAAGCGTTGAAGTTGTGCACTCAGCACTCAACAAACCCATCGTTTTAAACTACTTGCACTCTTGTAACAAGTTGGCAACCAGTTTAAGGACCTACTGCAAATCAGTCCGGTAGCCTTATAATTGAGTGCAGATCCGTGCACTTTGCAAGTATTATTGACTGTGATAGCCTATTTATTTATTTATTTGAACACATAAATATTGGAACAAGAGAGCGCCAATATATATGCGTCCGGGCAGTATCACAGCCCACACACAAATATGATGAACTGCCTATAATTATAATTATGGATAGCCTATGTACGCATTTGTTGAAATAAGCAACAATTTTGAATAACGTTGGAGGAAAACAATTTTGTTTACAAATAGACATATTAAGGAAGTAATTTGTCTTAAATGAAACAACCTCGAAGTAATGAATAAATCATATGTACTGTTAATATAATTATACATCTCTTAGTTACTGTATACTCGAAAATCCCGTTCGTTAAGTGAATATTTAAAGTAATATAGTGTATGTGTGATGATTTGAAGTGTTTGAATTATTATACGAATTAGGAATCCCAAAAATTAACGCACTTTAACCAAGAAGAACTAGGTGTATTTGGAATTCGAGATCAGGCAGTCGTCAAGGACAGAAGAATCATTAGTTCATGCACACACCACAGTATGGTAGGTAAACAAACTTCTTGGGATCTTTTAAACTTTGGATAGTTTGATAGAGTTCACCTGGGCCTTTAAGAGTTCGTTAGTAACGTTTTCTTGCTGCCACAGGTGGGTCGAATTCGACTATAAGGCGTATCAGTCTCCCCAATATTGCAGATATGCTTTGCCAAAGAGTTCTGTCTAGCATGAAATCTAGTTTACAGTCTTCATATCTGTTGCGTTCTTCCATCTGAAGAATCGTTTCTCATCACCAAACCTCAGTAGCTCTAAAGGCTGAATAGCACGTTACCCACTACTCAGCAATCTATTGGTATAAATGTGTTTTTTTTTCGTAAAGAGACAAAAATCCAATTCGCTGGCCATTCTTGCTCGTACTGCGAAAAATTCCGAAGTAAAAGAAAGTGTAAATCAGTAAAAGTATAGACAATACAAGTGTTTAATTGTTATCACTTGTAAATTTACAGTTCCTAAATAACATTAGTTGAGGTCTCTGTTCATAGTAACTAAAAAATGGTTTCCAAATCCTAAAAGTAATCTTTGCATTGTGACAAGATTTGAATTTATGATGACAACAAAAAGTTGATGAGGAGCCTTCCTGACAATTCAAATAGTCTAGTGAAACTTTAACTTTTGCTGTTAATGAGTTGATATTAGCCTAACGTTTCATGAGATTCTGTGTGAAGAAAATTTGCACGCATTTGTCAAAATTCAAAACATGTAGGGGTATGTATATACAAAGCCTTTTTTACCGATGGTCGTTAGATTTGATCGGGTTTCTTTGTCTAGTTCGGTTATAAAAAGATTTCACATGACACAAGTTGCTTATGAAAACACCAGTGAAGTGATCCTAGAAGGGCTCACTCCACTAAATCGTTATCTATATTTAAATCCTGTCATAGTTTGTGTTACAAATACTGTTTTCAAAACTAAAGGTCTCCATGAGTTGACACAGTATTAATATTTTGCAATGACGCAGTGTAAACAAGACATAGTAATGTATTATAGGCATTATTGTGTAAACTTTGTGATTATTTATATGGAAATAAAGTGACACTTAAATACAATTCAATTACTAATTCCGAAATCGTATTGTCTAAAAGTAATCATCGCAAAAGCTTGAGCACGAAATACAATCCCCACAATATTGAGTTGTAAAGTCTACCAACACTTGTTTTATGGCTTAATAAGCATAACTAGAAACTGTAACTCGTGAATATGATGAATTCTATTGGTAACTGGCTAGTTTAATATGACTAAACGGATATTCAGTATATTAACCAACAGAAAACAAACTAGCTGTTAATTATCCAATAAAATGCTAGTGAGGGAAACATGTGCAATTAAATAATGTTTAGTCATGAATATTGGCTAAATAATAATGATTTTCATTCACAGAGCATGTGAAAATTATGGCAGAACATTGTTTTGCATTCTTGACTTTTACACAGACTCAGATTGATAGACTAACAAGCTACCGACTAGATAAGTCTCTGAGTTATTCATTTAATTTAGTACTTTCCCATAAAATTCTGGTTAAGCATGATTATTATGACCGAGCAAGTAAATATTTTGTCCCACAAAAAACAAAGATAAGAACTTGATAATTCTTTTGAAATTCTCCCAAATATATCTAGCATTCAAGTTCCTAATAACTATTTAGTAGTTCTGTTTTGAATGTTGTTTAATAACATATTTTATAGAACATAGAAGCACCCACCCATGCTATAAACCTCTGCCACCACAGTATGTTGCTGAAACCAGGCTTTAAAAGACCAGGTCGATATTCTATGAATACGTTGTTAATATTTGGAGTTATTAATTATACCAGTATAACGTTACTTGCTGGTTAGATATTTACCATTGGAAATTCGACAATGGTACAGTCTAATAGAATTCGACTACTGTGAAGAGCTCTTACAGAGATTTATGAAAATACATAAAATCGATGTTTGCGTCTACAGATTTCGTACACCACTCACTCGATGTAAGTCCAAGTAATCCTGCCTTCACTTCTTTATCAAAAGTAATTGTTCGTAGAATTTTCGCATCAAAAATATAGTTTGACTTTCTCATCTTTTCATTAAAAAACTAAGTATTGTGCAACTACGCGTTTCCCTAAAAAGAGAGATTGAATTAATATACTCAATTTATAGATGTGATAGATCTAAATCGACAGTTATTCTCAAGCATGAGTTCGTATTCTTGTTGCATTTTAGAAAATTAGGTCACAGCTTGTCATTCTTTAATTATTCTACTTACTGATGGAATAATAGAGAAGATAAATATGTATTGATTACGATAATAATTTATTTGATCTGTACTATGTAGAATAGCTTTTCTCAGAATTACTAAAGCGACTAAGCTGATTCTTCTGGATCATAAACAACCGTGTTATACTCCTATATTTCTCTGTACTTCTTCGTCATGTGTCGAAACAAGGTCTTTAGCGCACAATTCCCTTTTTTTTAATCAATTACATGATTTGATGTGATTAGATCCACTTCGCAGTTAACGGTTTCTAGTACTTCAGTATTCTAAACAACCAATTCATCAGAATAGTTGGAGCTTACAAATTACACCGACGGGAGTTATCAAACCGGATAACAGATTTTCCATTTTAACAACTCAATCCCATTAAAAACTCATTATTGTGTAGTTGCATGCTACTTGAGAAAATAACGGAGATCCCAATATCCTTATATTGGAGAAGCCGCGATAGAAGATTTTGGGGAAATGGCACAAGAACCTCAGAATCTTATAACATTGGGGGAACCCGTCTATAATTAATGATAAAATCCCAAAGATTTTTGAAATTATGGGTTTCCCCCAAAATTTTCTGCAATTTTGGGTTTTTCCTCAAAATTTGCGACAACTTTGTGGAAACCAATCAAAAATGTGACCAAACCCCAATTTTCTTACACATTTTGGGGACATTCTGCACGAATTGGAGATATCCCCAATACTGTATTCGAAACAACCCCAAGACCGCCGATTGTACAGGAAAGCCTGTCAACTTAATAACATGTATCCAAAAGTTACTAGGCACCTATTCAACTGTTTTAGCAAAGTGAATGCAGTCTCAAGGCAAGTAGACCAGTTGGTAATAAAAACCGATCTATCGCGATAGATAAGCATTGCCGTAATTAAAAAGACGTGTTATGAATGACGATGTTTATTAAAGTTTTAAAAAGTACAAATTATCAAATAACTTTCAATTTTTAACAATTGCTTGTGTGTATTGGTCAAGTACATCAGGTTGGTACTAAACTTTCATTGAGTGTTCTACAGAAAGAAAAAAGATAACCTTCTATACTACAAACGCAGTATCAAAACAGTTAAATTGCTAATAGTAGACAAACGAATGTCCTACATCATAGAAATCATCCAACCTATGCATCCACATTGTGTACCAATGGTATAACAACCTCCTGGCAATGGCCCGTGGTCTTAATATTATGGCTAACTGCCATCTCAAGATCCTTGTGAAACCGGACCACGGGTACAGGCACTTCTCCTATGCTGTACTTATTTACCTTCGCATCCACAAAGTGTATGTAGACACGCTTTGTCGTGTTGATAGGCGTCAGCCACTCTTTACACCAATTAATTATAATATTTAAGTCTGTCTGAAGTGTGCATGCATCTCATTCAAATCGTTATGCATTTTCATTGTAATTGCCAATTCATTGTTATTTGAAAAGATCTGCAAAAGAAAACAGGTGATGTATTATTAATAAGGCGTGTGTTCAATCGCAAGTTCACTGGCAATCAAACACACTTCCTTAACATTTAATTAGTTCCCCATATAGGAAGTAAGCTTATTCACAATATAACTTTTATTGAAAAATAAGTAGAACATAGAAAACATTTCACCGACTACATCATTCAACCATGCATGTTCGGCTATTGAGAATAAAAATAATCTACCTGTGAATCCTCATGTGTAAAAAAACAAAAGAAGTTACAACGATATCTGAATGACATGCTTTGGCAAAGCCAAATACTTGACGCTTAACTCACGGTTATGTTCGTTAAGACAGTCGACTGGAACTATAGAACAATAGGGAAGTTATCACTTTAAATTAGTACATACCTGATCTTGTTTCCTCCTATGACGCTTCGTCAGTTTGTCTCTGATGTCGTGAAAATAACCTTGTGTCGCGATATCGTACAGTTTCGCAAGGTCTTTTTCTTTGACAGATGATGACGAAAAGCGATTTGTTAATGCACCTGAAGTTTAAATAATAGATATAGGTTACTTCGTATGCAGCCGTAAAACCGGCATTTCTGAAGTGCTCGTTTTGAAGAAGTGCCAAGTAGCGTGAAATTGCTGGCAACCTCAGGTGTCATGAGGTACGACAATATATATCGCATTGAGGTTTTAGGATTATTATCCATTAACCTCGTTACCATGGCCATCTGTAATACAAACAAATTATTAAATTATTGTTGTTGACTTACAAATCTGTCCCTCATTTCTTTCTGCTGCAAATCAGTGTCCAACATCTGCAGTTCCTCTTCAGATGACAAAGGGAACTGCTGACTTGATAGTCCGCAATCGAAATGATGAGGATTTTCGCGTTCACTGAGCTTTGCTAATAGCAGCTTTACATTTTTACTCAAGTCAATAATAGCTGACGATATGTTCTGCATCATCGTATACAACCTATCAAATCTAATAAACTCCACTTGATTGTACAGGTGACTTACTGGGCCGCTAAAGCACAATCTAAGTGCTTAGATTCTAATGTTGACGGTGATGTATCTAATGGTGTCGAACTAATTCATAAAAATCCAAATGGTAATGAAACGTACTTGGCAATTGGCGAGGTGACTCTATCAAACAACCGAAATCTCGGATATTGTACGTGGCTGTTTCCAGCCTGCATCTCGGCAACATCCATGTCTTCTGAATTGTAAAGAAATCCTTCTTTACGCTTCAATGCACCTTCAGGAAATGTTAGTACATTAACGTCATTACATCCTATAGGAAATATATTAACGTTTTACACTTCGTATACATACCATTATTATCTAGAAGCCTTTGATTGCTGCACCTAGTGGACGGTGCAACAGTTGAAAGATTCTCATTACAATTAATTTCTCTCTCGACTGCTATCAACTAAACATATACCACTGTTAAAGTCGATTACCTTTGATTGCGCTTTCATTAGCAAACTCACTGAACGAAAGAAAGTCATATTTTTCATTAAAGCAGCTCTCATTTTATTCCATCTTCTGTTATAAGTGGATCTATGACAGACAAGGGAACGTGACAAGTTTACAGTGGCCCTACGTCTACGAACATTCTCACTGACTTCAATAGAACTCATAGTATTGGCCTAACAAGGTTATCACTTATAATGGACATGAAAATCGGAGAGCGTCACTCACCTGAATGGCAACGCTTCAGGGGTATCGTTCACTGACAGAGGTTGCGAGCACTCGAAGGTCGTCGCAAGATGATTGGTGCGTCACATCGACAATTCGTGAAGTTTCTCAAAAGCGGTCAAATCAATACATTTTTAGATTTGAATTGAGTTCAGCCACACTGTGTCTGATAACGTTCATTCTCCAAGTGACGAAGACGATGCCATCGTGATGATACATGATATAGGACGAATCTTCAATGATATTATGTTATGTCGAAGATTTACAAGTTGGGACAATTTTGAGACCTGTTTGAAAGAAGTCCCAAGCAACACAAAAAAGGGAATTAAAGGGGACGAAATCGTAAATAAAGGGGAAATGTCGCTTTTTCCATCTTACGTCGTGTATTTGGGGAAATTTGTCGACAACTCTACGTAACGTACAGTATTTGAATGAACCGCATCCAGAACATAAGTTTTCATAAACTTCGGCGAATTAAGCCACCACTTAATAAAAAAAACAAAACTATTGTCATAAAAACAAGGTACAAAATACGGAACCAGGAATTAGGTTGATACGCATATGCACTGACTACGTTTGTTGTTTAGCTAAAGTGTTCAGACATGCTTGGGAGCCATCACAGAAAACCTAAGTGATGCAGGTGAGTGACGCTCTCCGATTTTCATGTTCATTGTAACTGATAACCTTGTTAGGCCAATACTATGAGTTCTGTTGAAGTCAGTGAGAATGTTCGTAGACGTAGGGCCACTGTGAACTTGTCACGTTCCCTTGGCTGTCATAGATCCACTTATAACAGAAGATGGAATAAAATGAGAGCTGCTTTAATGAAAAAATATGACTTCCTTTCGTTCAGTGAGTTTGCTAATGAAAGCACCGTAAAAGGTAACTGAGTTCAACAATGTTGTTTATTAAATTGATAGAAGGAAAGATAGAAATCAGCTGTAATGACAGTACTTCAACTATTACACCATCCACTAGCAACATCAATCAAAGGCTTTCAGATAATAGTAGTATGTACGTAAAATTCATACGTGAATATAGTTATTGTAGGATGTACTGAAGTGAACTTGTGCTCTCAAAAGTTCGTGAATCGCAAAGAACTGATGAACGACTTTATGATGTATATAATTTCAAATACATCTCTGAGTATAAGAGATGCTGATCGGGTTCTGTATGGTCTACGATTTCTTATCACGGACATACCGAAAAGCATCAGAGGTGTCCTAAAGACGTGTGCAAGTGTTCAACCAAAGTTCATCGGCAGTGGGGTTTACTACCATCTAGGATTGAAAACCAATCTGCTAAGATGCGTTGAGCTTTGGTTGTGTACTATTGATTTTGATTCTTTAAATTTATATATCAATATAGATGGACTTTCTATATCTAGAAGCTCCAATCAACAGTTATGGCCTATACTAGGACGGATAATTGCCCCGAGGTTTAGTGGCGTGTTCATGATAGGGATCTACGGAGGGAATAGTAAACCGGCAGAATTCAACGAATTTTCTGCGGACACAATTTCTGAAACAAAAGAAACGACAGACGTGGGTCTTTTTAGTGTCAAGTTTAATAAATGCATAGCTATTAGGTTGGCGGCTGTTATATATGACGCACCTGCTCGTTCTTCTGTTAGGTACACGGTAAATCATAACAGTAAGGCAGGTTGCGATAGGTGTACTGTACTTGGGAGACGGCTGGAGGGTAAGACGACCTTTCCAATTGGGGTATATACTTTAAGAACAGACGACACCTTCCATCGTCAGACTCAATCTATTCACCATCAAGGACATTCTATAATGGGGACGCTTTCTATTAATATGATTATAACATTTCCTCTAGATCCTATGCACATGGTGTACCTCGGTGTTACAAAAAAACTAGTTAATTTATGGATAGATTTAGCACCCCGAAGACTACAGAACTTTAACTCATGTGCAATTAGGGAAATCAATAATTTAATATCCGGTTGCGTGACAAGTACTCCTTCTGACTTCCCCGTAAATGCCGTACACTAGACTTCGTATCGGCATGGAAAGCTTCTGAATGTACGTTGTTCCCTCTGTATTTAGGCCCGGTGATTCTTGAAAAAACATTACCACAACCTTTTTATCTTAATTTCCGGCGTTTAGCTTTATCCATGTACCTGCTGGCACATCCCAAATTACATAATACTGTTGTAGAAACCGCCAGAATAGATTTACTAAGCTTCCTGAATGAATACGAATGGTGTTATGGGTCTGAAAACTTAGTTTACAATGTGCATTCGTTACAGCACCTCCCTAACGACGTTCGTGCACATGGACCTTTAGATAGTTTTTCAGCCTTTCCATTCGAGTCTTATATGAGACATAGTGGGTTTGCAGTAGCGAAGCAAGCAGCTCAGCGTTATACAGATAAAATGTCCCTCTGCGATAGGCTTCAAATTACTGGTTTGACAAATACTACCCCAATAGGCGCTAATCATGTCCCCAATAAACAAGTAATTATGTTTAAAATAGTAAAATAACTTCATTTAAGCCTGATAATGTAGTAGTAGTAAACGGCCAGCCAGGTTTAATCACTGATATAAGGGAGGATGAACTACTAAAATTTAGGACTTTCACTGACCCATGCAATTACTTTGAAGATCCTTTCTCATCTAGTGACATTGGAATCTTTATGTGCTCCGTAGTTAGCCATGAACACACATGGATATCGCTTAAGGACATAGATCGTAAATGTATAGCCATCAATTGTGTCAATTATGTAGTTAAATCCCATTACCTTATGTACGTACATAAGGTAATATGACTTCTGTGGTTAATAAATATTTTAAGTATACGCATACCAAGTACGCTATGTCAGTAGGCAAAAAGAACAGTGATGATCAAACTCTAAACTACTTTTTCGTGAGATGTGTCTGTACAGGGTGAATTTATCCGCAACGCAACCATGTAAGCTTGAGTAGAAGCAGCAAAAACCCGGAAAACATCGCTGATTCGATTACATAGCTACACAAAAGAAATAGCTGAAAGAATCACAGAACGAAGAAAGCTGACCGCCATTGCTTACAAAGATGGCGGATATAATACTTCCCGCCTCATTCTGATTGGTTGCTAGGCTGAAGAGCACATTTACGAAATTGAGTTGCGTTTAATTGCAGCCTCTGTATATATGGACGTAAACGCAGTTCGCCGGAACCAGATGCTTGCGTTCAGGATGTAGATGATGATAGTAATCATCATTCTTCTGAAGAGCGTACAACTTCTAACTCGCAAACACAACCTAGACAAAGGAGACGACGTCGGTCATCTACGTATGCCTCACTTCAAATGAATTTATCCTTCAGGTCGAAATATTGCCATTGTCAATCTGGATTTGGGGTCCGGGCAGTAAATGGTGAGCTGAAACTCACCTTTATTAAAACCGTGCACAACCATCCTTGCACAGAAGGATATATTTCTGTCCATCCATCGAGATGAAAGTTGACGTCAAGTGAACGCTTGTATTTAAGAACGTTTCTACTGAGTAATACATCAACTCGTAGCTTAGGGCATATGGTTTCTTGGAAGATCCATAAACAGCTTACCAAGGACGATATCGCCAAAATGCGTTCACAGTTATACCCAGTTTGTTGAACTCACATTGTAATTAATTAAGTTTAGACACTAAAGATACCAATGACATCTTACAGTGCGTTCAAGCGAACACTGAAGTAAGGGTATTAAATGAAAATGGGAACATATCTATAATTTGCTTCAGCCGCAGGGAACACATAGCTGTTTACCACGCGTTCTCGGAGGTAATATGTATTGATTCGACTTATCAGACCAACAAAGTTGGGTAAGTAACGGTTAGTAATAAATTTATCTGAAAGTTTTCCACTGTTCTAGCTAGTGGTGACTGATAGTCTTGGGCAAGGGCACACTTTTATGTATGCTCTTTGCAGTCAAGAACGACGCGATGTCGAAAAACTATTGGAATTCTTTAAAGAGATAATGTGCGGTAATTATGATACACGGAATTTCATTATGGATTCGGCAGCGACCAAACTTTCAGCAGTGCAGTCTACGCACAATCATTCTAACATAATACTTTGTTCACTTCATGTCTTAAGAGCATTTTTCAGGAAGGTATGTGTTAGCTGTACAAATTATTTTCTGTAGTTCCGAAATCCTGGTATACGCCAATGCTTAGAACAGCTTGTGAAGACTAAACGATCTGGTATGTGGGCTTCGCTTTTCACGACGCATTATGTTCAGATTTACTCGGAAGTACGAACATCTAAGGACGCATTTCCCACGAGCGTATGATTATATAAAAGATTATTGGATTGCCCGGAAGTCAGTATGGGCTCGCTGTTACCGGCGACATGTATTAAGCCTGAGCAACCACACAAACAGTGCTCATAAACACCTAAAAGAATGTCTCAGAAGAGGTGATTCTCTGTTATTGACTTTCTGGAAAATTTGGAGCAAAACAGACACCGACGCACGTTTGCGTCCATATGACGCTGTAAAGGGTCTTCAACGTTTTCCAGTTCTTCAGGTAAGAAATACAGTTAAATGTATCATTAATTCCAGGTTCCAATGTCATTTGGAACTCTTTTAAATGAGTTCGCATCTTTTGCAGATAAAATTGTAGCTGTAAATCATAAACGTGTTATGAAAATGAGACACGAATTTGTAGAAGGAGAATACATCCTGTGCTACGACAAGGGTATGAAGTACGTTGTTGATGCTTCACGTGCACGATGTGCTTGCGAGCGTTTCAATGACTAAGTGCTACCCTGTGGTCATATTCTGTATGCACATTCTAAAGATTTAATTCTTGGAGGTATGTGTGTATTCCTTTGTCTCTATAAGGTTTGTAGACCTACTTCGACATATCAACCGGTGGAATAGGAAATACATAATGGACCAGGTTCTTCGTGCGCTGGACCACATGTCAATCTCGACAAAGAGTGATGATCTGCTGGAGAAGTTCACTAACAAATACCACTCAATCCATACTCTCAGTGAACCTCTGGCAAGTAAACTCATCCGTTCATGCCTCGAAGCAGCGGTGCCTCGTTTTTTCGACGTTTATGGTCATAAAGGGGTTCAGAACATGTCGTCAGCTATCAGTGACTTGACTAAAACGATGCACAACGTATCCTCGGCCATTAGTGACTTGAATATTAATGTAAAGCAATTACCATCTAAGTCTAATGAACGTGAAGAACCGCATCATTTCGATTGCGGACTATCAAGTCAGCAGTTCCCTTTGTCATCTGAAGAGGAACTTTCCTCTTCAGAAACTTTGCCTTACCTTACGGCTCTATGGTTACAGTCATCAGTGTTAACGGACATAACCGTAAGTTTCGCACAAAGTATTTTGCTGTGCCAAAGCCTGTCATTCAGATGTCCTTGTTACTTGTTGTTTTTTGGACATTTCAGAATTCACAGGAACACTGTTTTAATTCTCAACAGCCGAACATACGTGGCTGAAGGCAAACGTCCGTTCAGTTTCTTTTTGTTATGCGGAATTTTTAGTAAACATTTTTTGGTGGCACAGCTTACCTTTTTACTAGCATTGGAAGCCACTGAAGTGTTGAGAAAGTGCGTTTGATTGTTAGTGAACTAGTGATTAAATGCACATTCCTTATAAATAATACATCACCTGTTCTTTCTTTTGCAGATATTGTCAAATAACAATAAATAAGCATTTACAGTGGAAGTGAAAAACAATCTATGCTGAATCTTCAGCTATAATGTTGTACAATAATAAGCTTTTCCTTTTAAGTAAAATTTTTAAAAGTATACAGGTTTTCCAGTGCATTTGACTTTATTTTTGGTCTGTTGTTGAAACAAAAGGCGAACATTGGAGACCTTTGGGGTTATGCCAATGGATCAGAAATAAACAGTTATGTGTGTACTTAGGCGAAAAGTAGTCGATTCGGCAGATATTTAGGTGAAAAGTAGGCAAATCCGCGGATATTTGGGCGAAAATTCGACAATTCAGTGGATATTTAGGCGAAAAGTCGGTTATTTATCGACAAAGCGGGTAAAAGGGGTAAATCCGCATTATTTCCTACGGACAGGCGAAAAGGCGACATTCTGGCGCATTTTCCCCTTTATTTCCTCTTTTTTGGTTGTTTGGGACTGCAGATGCTCAACACTGATTTGCAGCAGAAAGAAATGAGGGACAGATTTGTAAGTCAACAACAATAATTTAATAATTTGTTTGTATTACAGATGGCCATGGTAACGAGGTTAATGGATAATAATCCTAAAACCTCAATGCGATATATATTGTCGTACCTCATGACACCTGAGGTTGCCAGCAATTTCACGCTACTTGGCACTTCTTCAAAACGAGCACTTCAGAAATGCCGGTTTTACGGCTGCATACGAAGTAACCTATATCTATTATTTAAACTTCAGGTGCATTAACAAATCGCTTTTCGTCATCATCTGTCAAAGAAAAAGACCTTGCGAAACTGTACGATATCGCGACACAAGGTTATTTTCACGACATCAGAGACAAACTGACGAAGCGTCATAGGAGGAAACAAGATCAGGTATGTACTAATTTAAAGTGATAACTTCCCTATTGTTCTATAGTTCCAGTCGACTGTCTTAACGAACATAACCGTGAGTTAAGCGTCAAGTATTTGGCTTTGCCAAAGCATGTCATTCAGATATCGTTGTGAATTTTTCTTTTTTTTTACTTCAGAATTCACGGGACGACTACCTCAATTCTCAATAGCTGAACGAACTAGGCTGAAGGGACTAGTCCGTGCAATTTTCTTTATGTTCTACCTCATTTTTAATAAACAATTTTTGGTAAAAGAGCTTACTTTATTACTTACATGGGAAGCTATAAAAGTGTTGAGAATGTGTGTTTGAGTGTCAGCGAACTTTTGTTTAAATGCACATTCCTTATAGATAATACATCACCTGTTCCTCCTTTTGCAGATAATTTCAAATAACAATGAATTAGCAATTGCAATGTATATGCAAAACAATCGATGCTGAAGCTTCTGCCCTAATGTTGTACGCTAATTCGCTTTTCCTTATAAATAATTTTTTAATATACCGGTTTTCAAGTGCATTGCAGTTTTATTTTGATCTGTTGTTGAAGATAAAAGCGACCATAGGAGACTTTTGGGGTGATGACAATGGATCGAAAATAGGGAGTTCCGTGTTTATTTAGGCGAAAAGTAGACAATTAAGCGTATAAGCAGGCAATTCCGCGGAAATTTTGGCAAAAATTCGACAATTCGGCGAGAATTTAGGTGAAAAGTAGACAGTTCGGCGGACATTTAAGCAAAAAGTAGACAATTCAGCGGATAATTAGGCGAAAAGTCGGCGATTTGTCGACAAAGCGGCAAAAAAGGGAGAAATCCGCAGTATGTTGTTGATACTTCACAACAACGTTGCGCTTGTGAGCGCTTTAATGACTACATGCTGCCGCGTAGTCACATTTTGTATGCAAATCCCAAGGATCTAACTCGTGGAGGTGTGTAGACAAGGAACTACATAATGAACTTGGCTCTCCGTGCGTTGGACAACGTGTCAATCTCTCAGGGAGTGAAGATCTGCTGAAGATGTTCACTAATAACTACTACACAATCTTCTTAGTGAACCTCTGGCCGGTAAACTTATCCGTTCATGCCTCGAGGCCGCGGAAGACGTATGTGCAGAAGTTATGAGTTCACTCGGTGTTAATGATGAAGCTACATCTCCAGAATGCATTGTTTTAACTGACCATAACTATGCTTTTTGATAACAAGAAGTTCTAACGTTCAAATCTATTCAGTTTTACATAAATTCATTTATATAGCCATCAAGTTGTTTTTACAGCGTTACGGTAGGCAGTGTACTATGCAGTCTTATGTGGCTGTGAAACAGGGATGTTGGTTCGCATTGATGTATATCGCTTACCATGGTGGCACACACATGATTAGTCGTAAAGGCCTATTACCGAATACTGTAACCTTGAGCATGCTGTACTATACCACTAGAGGAAATTTCGAACTATCGTACCGTTGAGAAATCATACAGCGGTTAACTTTTGCCGTCATTAAGCTGATTTTGCATTTATTCATTTTCTTCAGTTAGCTTGGCAAAGTGAACGCAGTTCCAAAGCAATTAAACTATAATAACAAGAACCGGTCTATCGCGATGCATAAGCATTCCTGTAATTAAAGGATTGATGCGTTATAAGTGAAGATGTTTATTGAAGCTTAAGAAAAGTATAAATTATCCATCAGTAAATATCTCCTAATTCTCAACGATTGCTCATGCATATTGGTGAAGTACATCAGGTTGGTGTTGAATTTTCATTGACAGTGTTCTGCAGGAAGAAAGAAAAAGTTACTCTTCTGTTTTAAAAACGCAGTATCAAAGCAGCCAAATTGCTTATAGTAGACAAACGAATGTTTTATGTCATGGCAGTCATCCAACCTATGAATCGACAATTCGTACTAATTGAACGCTAGATTTGGTTCCTAAGCTCTTCTAGTACCCCCCCCCCAGAATAGATCGACACAGCGATCTGAACACGACAGAAAAGGTACAAAAATTTAGGAAACACATCACTCTAATGGTTCGTTTATATATAGAAAATCTGGGGTATTTATGGTATTTAGATGTCCTTGGGTTTCCCGGAGAATCTGGGATGCTACTAAACATAATAGCAGTATAAGTAATCATCCGATCAAAAGCTCGACATGTGACTTTTGAATTTTTAGATATTTCTGTCAAGACGTCCAGTGAACGCTGATTGGATAAGATGCATCTTGATGATTTCAGAGCCTTTTTGGCTTTTTGAGGAGTTTGCTGGATCGCCCCAACACCTCCCCCTTATAAAATAAGACCTTTTCTTTGGGTCTACTTGCAGCTTTGTAACTGGTTTTCTGCGGCGATCAGACTTTCTTGGTATCTGGCGTCTATGAGTGTCTTTTGGGGTTCTTGTCATTGGTGTATCTGTAATTATCTCTAGCGGAAGCCTCATTCGACTATCTACAGTGTTTAAAGCCCTTTTCTCTGTGTATTTGATTGATGTGTTTAACCTACATTCTGAAAGTCCTATGCTTTTTGTATAAGACATTTCCTATTTTCCTTTCGATGGTCCCCAGTTCCCAACGATTCTTCCTAATGTATAATTTGACGAACACTTTATCACCAACGTTAAAAGCCCGGCTATTCTGATCTTCAAGTAAGGGACACTGATGAGTTTCTAGGGCTTCAGTTAGTCCGGCTGAGTAGTCAGGAAATAAACGGACGCTATAATTAGTCTTCTTTACTACCACTACCGGTGCAGCCCATTTTTTACCGGTTCAATGATACCCAATTTATGAAGTCGTTCTGTGGTGTGTGCTACTTATATTGACATAAGTAGTATATGATGTTAGTCATGAACAGAAGGTCTGGCAGCAGAGGGATAAGGGGATCGGACAGCATAGAATGGAAGAGGATGAAATTTGCATGAAAATGCGAGAACAATGAAGTCTGGGTCATTTTGAGACAATTGGTGGAAATTTTGCAAATTAAGCAGTTACTTTATGATTGCTAAATTTTATTAACAAGTCCTGTAATTTCGTGTTAAATACATTCGATTGTTCCCCACTGGTGTTCGTGTTCACTACAGTTCTACCTCTTGTTCACCAACTGGTGGGTCACCATATGGTACGGGTCTTTTAGGTCGAAACGCTAGCTTTGATCCCTGTCGAAGGATAAGAGCAACTTTATATTTAGTGCATTCTCCAAGACTCTCACTAAATATCATTTTATGTCGTTTTAATAGTGCTTCCGTCGAGTTTTCTCCTCAACTTTCGACGTGCTGACGTTGCCGCAGATCGAGTTGATGGGACGGTCTGTTAGCTTCAACCTTTCTATCCAATCAAGCCCCAATAAGTCGAGTGACGGATTTTCTGTCAAAAATATTACTCTTTTCTCCATAAAGTCTTTGACTGTGACTTAACAATGAATATCACCGACAATGTTCAGCATCCCACCGAATGCACCATATGTTGATGAGTGAGTTGAATATATTCGTGGTCTACCATTTTTTCTCCCACGTTCATCTGCTTATAAGTGTTCTATCGTAGACTGTGTCTAACTGTAAGTGAGCATTATACCCATTAATCTTGGGAGAAATATGCTTTTTCCGGTCATGGGGCCGAATTTGTTAGGAGATACCGTTACTTTAGCTGTTCATGGCTTGAATATTTAAGAATACACTTTCGGTTAACGGCGTTCATGGGTCTTGCAATGAATTTCTTTGTGTCCTTTTCTAGAACACGTGGTACAACGATGATTTTTTAACGGACAAAACATTTTGAAATGCCAACCGCCGCATAACCAGCATGGGGGTGATGGTTGGTTGCCGTCATCATGATAATTCTGCGTGCTAGAACCGGTAACTGTTCCCTACCATAGATGTATCATGCTTCGAATTCACTAATCTTTGGTATTCGCTATGTACTTCCTGTAGGGTTATGTTGGGACAATGTTCGGGCTTGCTTAGGATTCTTGTCCGGATGTCAGCATCCTCGCGTGAACGCAGGCTACAGAAAAAACTAGGCATTTAAACTGATCTTCAGTCATGGAAGAAAACTTGAACCTCTCACATTCTCAGTCCAAAATTCCTGTATGTTTTACTAAGTCATCTCCCGGTTCTTTAGTTATCTTTAAGCATTGGTAACAGATATTAGGTAGAAATGACTGT